TCTGGCATCGAAATCTTGAATATTTATTTGTGAAGTTTTTCAAATTTATTATTACTTTTGAACATTTATTTTTTGAGGGGAAAAAATTTAATCTGTTTGTAATTTCATATTTTAGAGCGCAATTAAGTTATTTGATCTCATTATTTGAAATTTATAGGTTATGCAACCGGTATGATTGGTAAATGGCATTTGGGCATCAATAAGTATAACTCCACTGATGGTACCTTTTTGCCATCACAACGGGGTTTCGATTTTGTTGGTTTAAATTTACCGTGGACAAATGTATGGCAATGTGATACTTCTAAGGTTATTTATGCACCAATTATAACACTACTAAAAGGTATCAGCGCATTCGACAAAAGCGCTTCTTGGAGGAAAATTCTTCGGAAGAGAAATTTTATCATAAAGTCATAAAATAGAGTAGAAGAATACAATGATCATTAAATATTTACAATTGTTGGAATCATTTTCCTCGGGATCATCGATGCTTTTCAGGAATTTGTCAGCAGTCCAAATGGAACATTATGTTTCTTGTATGATGGAGATTTTATCGTTCAGCAACCAATTCGTTTTGAGCATTTAACTGAGGCTTTAGTTAATGACTGGAAACGATTTTTACGTATTCTTTTTTTTTCAAAATTTTTTTCGAGATTATAAAGCTTTTTTGATTATAAACGTCTATAAATAAAAAATAATCAAAAATAATATTTCTCTTCATTTTCTAATCGTGCTTAACATTATCTATATTAATTTTTTAAGCATTCATTATAAATTTATTAATTTAATCGTATCGTGTGAGTTAAAAGTTGATGAAAAAATTCGTCATCCATGTAAATGTGATAGAAAATAATGAAGAAATGAGATGGGGAAATTAATAGAATCAGTTAATTTAATTTAACATATTTAATTTTAAATAGTTGCAAAATGAAAGAGATATTAAATTTCAGAAGAAAGAATGGAAAATGATATTGAGAAAAAGCCATTTTTCTTCTATTTCTCATTTCCTCATGTGCATAGCTCACAATTTGCTAACAAACGTTTTCGACACAGTTCTGTACGAGGTGGATATCTAATCTGTCAATTTGCTCGATTCTCGAATGACCAAATAATTAGAGGAGAATTATAAATTTATTTGAACTATCACACAGTCTTTAGAAATATTGATATATCAATATTGTCTGCTACAGACTTACTCATTATATTCATAACAATCATATCACAAATTCTTAGGCTTATTTGGTGACAATATTAACGAAATGGCCTGGGCTGTTGGACAAGTTTTGAATAGTTTACGAAAAGAAAAAATTGAAAAACAAACGCTGGTAATATTAATGTCTGATCATGGACCACATCAGGAGCTTTGTCTTAATGGTGGAAGTACAGCTGGTTTAAAAGGTTGCTTGCTTTTTTTTTTTACCAATTTTTTTTATCGTTTAAAAATTTTAAAGGTTTAAAAATCGAATTTTGAATTACTTAGATTAGCAATTTAGGTGGGAAATCAAATAGTTTTGAGGGTGGATTCAGAATACCATTTGTTTCGTGGATGCCAGGAACGATTCGTTCCGGTGTTACATCACATGAAGTTATTTGGTCACTTGATCTCTTTCCAACATTTGAACAACTTGCATCAAAAGGGGTAATTATTTTACAAATAATACTTCATATTTTATGATATTCATTTAATCTCCTTGTATATATTTCACTTCTTTAATGCTCTCAAATTTTTGTTTTAAATTACAGTAACGATTTGCTAATTTGCGCAAACTGTTGTACAGTATCACAAATTGTTTCCATTGTTATCTTATCATAATAATGAAAATATTTCTACGATTATCATTTTAATTTCATGCAAGGTTTGATCTGAAAATTAAAAATTGCAGAGGGAATGGAAAAAGAAAAACATTTTCTATGATGGTATCGAAATTTGGCATCAACTTAAGGGTTTATCATCAAATGCCAGAGGGAATCGTGTATCCGATGCACCTTTGGCTCTTGTAAGGCCCATCTTCTACTACTGTAACACCCATCTGATGGCAATTCGCTACGGAAATCACAAAGTTTGTATTAACAGTACTGAAATTATTTGAATTATTCAATTAATAAAACTTCGGAAAATTTGAAAATATTCCAAAGAAATGATAATTTAATGAATTTCTCTATAATTTATATTTTTCCTTATATTTGTATAAGCAAAAGATTTTTTTTTTTTTGTTTTTAGGTGCATTTTAAAACGTCGCCAATTTTTAAAAATAGCACTGATGATCCACAAATGAATAAATTATGTCCTGGCGGAAAACCTATTGATGATTGGTAAGATTTTTTGAAAAATGTGTTGTCAAATAGGAGAATTTTTCGATTTATTTGAAATTTTGCAAAGAAAAAGAAAATTTGTGTTGTTTGGATTTTAAATGAAATATGATCAATACTTGAAGAATTAAATAGCCAATTAAACTATACATTATTTGCGCTTTATAATATTTTACCTTTCAGGTATGTATCACAACGATGTCCGGAAGATCAGTTGTTTGTTCATAATCCACCGCTTCTTTACGATCTACTTATTGATCCGTATGAAATGTATCCAATGCCACAAGATGATAAAAAAGCACAAGAAATTTTAGATGATGTAATACGAATACGTGATAGACATTTACAAACCATTTTACCGGTACCACAACAATTAGGTAAAACAATTGTTTTTTCGATATAAATGACCATTTTTTATTTGGAAAATGAAAATGCTTATTAAGTAACAATCGTTCTTTCTTTTATAATTGTTATTACAAAAATATTTTCAGCAAAAGATTAGTTTAATGTCCAAATAAAACAAATATTTTCATTTTTAACTATTATTTAATGATCAATGAATGATATTAGTATGATATTTGAAATGAATATTATTTGAATGATAACAGATTTTTTGCATGCCAATAATTTATAAGACAGATCTTCGGAGTGTAAGAATATGCGAAAATGTTAATTAATATTAATAGCTGTGGAAGATATCACATTGAGACAGATTATGAGATTATGATGATGATAAACCGTCTCAGATATTGTCACTAAAAGTTAAATCTATCTCGATCATGAATTGAATATACAAACATATTCAATTCATTGTCAAAGAAGTTTCTATATTTCAGGTAATTTTTCTATGGCTGTGCTCCCTTGCTGCAATCCGCCATATTGTCGTTGTGATTTTTTGCCCAATGAACGTTTGAAACGTGATAATATAATGACTGGTAATGATAATTGGGCAACTAATGTTCATGTTCTCAATGATATTTCGACCGATGCATTAACGATCTCGCGAAATGAACGAGAAATCAACTATATCTTGAATAGTGGGTTATAGGTTTGCTTGGATTTATGAAAATCGAAAAAATGAGAATAGATGAGAAGCAGAAGGACAAATTTAATCAAACTTTACATCATCATAGCT